GGGGCTAGGGACAGGGGTGGGACTGGGGGCGGGCAGGAAGAGGAGCCTCAGCCAGGTACACTGGACCGATGGGGGCCAGCCCAGCCCTCCTCCCTGGGAAGGTGGCAGAGAAGACTGCACCTGCCTCTCAGGCACCATGTTCATGGGGTCCCGGGGTGGGGGCTGCAGGCAGGGCAGAAAAGCAGGAACTCAGCTCTGTAAAAGCACCCCCATCCCTTGGCTCCTAGAGGAGCTCTCTTTGGTTTTAAGGCAGATATGGAGTTTCCTGAAAGCTGGGGAAATGAAGGACAAACTGAGATATATGCTTTTTTTTTTTTTTGCTTGTGTTCTTCCTTCAGTATAAAACCACTGTAGAAAATAATTTCTCTTAGAAAAAAACACATAGAAGAAAAAAACCAAAGGGGCATTTTTCTTTGGCTTCAAGCCCCATCCCATGAGGTGCAGGGATGGGATGGCCATGAGGTGAGGAGGAAGCAGGAGGCCTGCGTCCCCACCTCTGCCTGGCAGGTCCCAGATTACATGATGCTGCAGTTCTGGGGGTTCTAAGAGAGAAGAGAGAAGGAGAGAGGTATGAGGGCAGTGCCTGGCCCCCTACCCGCCCTCCCAACCCTCAGCCCTGCCCCTGCCCTCCAGTCTGGGGCTCAGACAGGAGGGGCAGAATGCAGGAGTGAACTGTCTAGGATCTTGGGTGGCAGTGGGGAGGCTCCCGCTCCCCCGGGCTGCGGGAGAGAAGGCTCTCCCCTCACAGGGCCACCTTGCTCTAACCCTTAAGGACCAGGGTCCTCTGCCTGTGGGGTGTGGAGGTAAAAAAACAACTCACCTGGGTTCGGCGACTGGAGTTGCCCAGGAGGTAGGAGCGGGTGACCAGGTTGTCCCCGAAGCTGCCACCCCCACTGCCCCCCACACTGCGGTAGCTGCGAGTGACTGTGACACTGGAGGCAGAAGAGCCAGAGGAGATGGATCCGCCCACCTGGGCTCCTGAGCCGCTGGCAGACGCCTTATCGGCGGGCTGCCCGCAAGTCCCGCACAGCACAGTGCGAGAGCGCAGGTTGTACTCAGCTGGGTCCCCCGAGCTGCTGCAGTGGGATCCCTGAGGAGGGAGACAAGGCTCAGGCGGGACGGCGAGTTTGGGACTGACTGCTTAGGCCTAACAGCCAGCTCCACGCTCCTGCAGGCTCCCCACCATCACGCAGGTAGGTGGGGTTCTGTCCTCAAGGGACCAGAGCGCAGGCAATAGGGCTTGAGAGGCTGGGCTGGGAGGAGGGGGAGGGGAGATGTGAAAGGGAGAAGGGTCAGGAAGACTTGGGGACAGGGAATGGAGTTGTGGCTCTGACTCTGTCCTAGCTACCCTAAGCTTAAGTGGGGGGAGAGAGTGAGTAGGCTTGTAGGGCAGCAGGCATGCAAAATAAATCAGAGAGGGTGGGAATGAGAGAAGGATCTTGCAGGAAAATGGGGAAGAAAGGACATGCATGCAACAGAAATGGGGGGAGAGAGGCAGGGCTGGATGCCCCACGTCTGTCCTCCCGTCCCCTTCCCAAGAGACAAATCCGGACCCTTGTCCACTGCTCCCATGGGAATATTCCATGGCATCAGAGAGTTCCCACTCCCTTCCTTACCAGAGTAGGGCGCCCAGACACCTGGGTTCCCTGTTCAAGGTATAGGGAGGAGAGAGAAGAAAAGCCAGGGCAGCAAGTGAAGTTCCAAAACGTTCTTTAATGAAACGATTTTTGGCATGGGGAGGCCAGGGAGAGGCTGCCCCCAGTCCCGGCTGGCTGCCCAGTGTGGGCTCGGCCTCAGCGGCGGCTGCCACTCACGTGGTGGTGATGGATCAGGTCATCTCCGTCCTCATCGTCATCATCATCGACCACAGTCACTGAGCGCACCAGCTTGCGCATGGCTACCTCCTGTCAGGGACATGGGACCAGGACCAAGGGTTAGGGGTCAGGGCCAGGGAAGGGGTGCGCAGTGTAGCCACCCACAGTGACCACCTAAGAACCGTTCTTGTGGTCTGCCCTTTGTCCAGCCTGCTGCTTACTTGTCCTCCATGGAGCTGGAGCTAAGGAACTGGTTTCTACCCCAGAGGAACACTGTCAAACTGCCTGGGTAGGAGTGTGATTCTGCCTTTAACACTCGGCGCTGTCTAACTTCCACCCACCCAGGCTGACGGAGGAGGCACCTTTTGATTTGCCCACTGGGTGGAGAGTTTAGGGCCCAGGACTGCACCACAGAGATAAGTGGCCCTGAATTGGCTTCCTTGGGTTGGGGCAGCTGGCTCTCAACTGCCCCCAGGGGAGTCCCCTGGATTGTGGCCACTCGGGGAGCCTTGCCCAGGAAGAGGCCAGCCTGCAGCATACTCACCTCCCCAGTGGAGTTGATGAGAGCCGTGCGCAGGCTGTTTCCACAGCCCCAGGTGTTCTGTGCCTTCCACACCAAGTCGGTAGGGGGGCTATGGGTGGCCCCCGCTCCTGCAGCCCAGATCTAGAGAGAGAGGATTAGGGAAGGGCGCTCACTCCAGCGCACCCGTCTTTAGGCCAGCCAGTCCCCACCCAATTCCAAACACCCTGCCACTCACCGTCACCACCTGCCCAGCCTTCAGGGTGAACTTTGGTGGGAAGCGGTAGGTCAGCAGGGGATCATCTCCATTCTGGCGCTTGATCTGCCAGTTGCCCATGGACTGGTCCTGCCAGGGAGGGGAGGGGAAGGTGGAGATGCTCATCAGGTTCCTGGATTTATAGCGCTCAAGGGCCCAGCAGGCACAATTGGAGGCCTCTCCCTCCATCCCTCCACCCACTACCCTACCCCTCAAGGGTAACAGCTGTGACCTGCGGGCACTTAGGCTATACCACACTCGATACTTTCACCTCCACAACTCAAAGAGTTAGGGACTACTGTTCATGCCCATCTTACACATGAGGAAACTGATGCCCGTGGGTTAAACAACTTGCCTAAGGCCTTATAGCCAACGATGAGTCCTGGAGCCAGGCCAGAACCAGAGTGTGGGGAGACACACACACTCACCGGGGCTGCCTCTCTCTGGACTTGGCCCCTTCGCCTTTCCGGGCCTGCCCTCACCCAGCGTATTCCCTCAGCCGGCCTGGCCGCCTACCTCATTGGACTTGTTGCGCAGCCGCACGAACTTGCCTTCCTCATCGACCTCCTCCACGGCCACGCGCCCGCTGGTGCGAGCGTGCTGCGAGAAGCTGCTGCGGCTCTCCGACGACTCCAGCTTGCGCTTCTTGGTGATGCTGCCCCCGCCCTGTGTCTGGGACGAGTGCGAGGAGGCGCGGCCGCGGCTGCGCTGCGAGGTGGGGCTGGGGGACAGGCGTAGCCTGGGGAGGGGGAGACAGAGTGGAGAGCCTCGTCAAGGCCAGTCTCAGGCGAGGGCAGCTGCGAGCGCCTCCCAGCTCCTCCCCGACGCACCTCTCCTCCTCGCCCTCCAGGAGTTTGCGGTAGGCGTGGATCTCCATGTCCAGCGCCAGCTTGATGTCCAGCAGCTCCTGGTACTCGTCCAGCTGCTGCTGCATCCTTGCCCGCATATCTGCCATCTCCCGCTCCTTCTCGGCCAGTAGCCGCCGGCTGGTGTCCCGCTCACGGGACAGTGAATCCTCCAGGTCCCGCAGCTTCGCTTCCTTAGCTGTCAGCTGGGTGAGCAAGGCAGGGAGCCGGTGAGGTCCCAAGGACTCCGAGTACAGATAGGTAAGGGGTGGGGGACACCCAGCCACACGCCCCAGGAACTCCAGGCTCCCACCAGAGACTATCATGGGCTCTAACATGGCCTGGGCTGGCGAGCCCAAAGCCCTTCCCAATATCTAACTGAAATCTCTCGTTCTGAGGCTAGAACCTACTTCCTCCTGTCACAAATGGCACAGCCAGCTAGAATAATATTGATGCTTTTAACACCTCACAGAATCTCCTGGCAGATCTGTAAGTTTGGGAAGGTAAGAATGATCTCCATTCTTATGGAGTGAAGGTCATACAGGTGAGATAAGAGGTAGTCCAGGTCATCTCACTCCAAATCCCAGGCCCTTTCTCAGTCTGTGGTCCTGGGAGCACGTTCTGTCCCTTACCTCTACCCCCTCCTTAGGAAGCCCCCCTGGACTTCCACCCTACATCCTGCCCAGGCTATTGGCCTGTGGGGGAAGGGGTGAGGTGGGGGCATTACCTGCTTCTGCAGCTGGCTGAGCTGAGCTGAGAGGCTGTCGATGCGAATTCGGGACTGCTGCAGCTCCTCATGCGCGGCCCCCACCAGGTTGCTGTTCCTCTCGGCTGATTGCCTGGCATTATCCAGCTGGAAGGGAGGGAACAGGGTTAGGGCTACAGGGCATGGGAGGGAGAGAGGACCTGAGAAGGGCACTACTGCTGCAATCACAGGTCTGGGGAACCCTGAGCTCCCACCACCATTCACCTGATCCCCTGTGGAACACTCCGGGTGGGCAGGGGAGGGCTGCTGGGGCAGAGGCAGTACCTTAGCAGAATAGGTCTTCTCCAGCTCCTTCTTGTACTGTTCCACCTGGTCCTCATGTTGGGCCCGCAGCTCCTGCAGGGCATCTGACAGCCGGCTCTCAAACTCTCGCTGCTTCCCGTTATCAATCTCCACCAGCCGGGTCTCATGGCGGCGCTTGGTCTCACGCAGCTCCTGGAAGGGTTGGACACAGAAATCAAAATGAGAACTAGGTCCTTAGAGGCTAAGACCCAGGTGGCCAAGCTCCCTGCCTAATCCTAACCCCATGGACCATTGTTAGCCCCACTTTAACCTGGGAGGTAGGTGCTGGTCACTGCCCGACCCCCACCCCATCCACTAGTGCAAGGGAGTCAAGCAGTTGAGCTCTGTACACAGCTGATTCTCCAGCCCCAACCCTGGTGTCTGAGCCACCCAGCCCTGGTCCTCTGGCCTGCAAGGCACAGTGCCCACCTCGCTGTAGATATTCTTCTGGAAGTCCAGTTCCTCCTTCAGGGTCTGCAGCCTGTTCTCAGCATCTACCCGCCGCAGCATCTCATCCTGAAGTTGTTTCTTGGCCTCACCTAGGGCTGCCTCCAGCTGAGAGGAAGGGGGCAGAGGTCAGGGAGAGAGGTCACAGAATATCAGAGCTGGAAGGAGGCTGAGGACTGGGCTGTTCCCAGTGCATCCCTTTATGTGTGGAAACAGGTCCAGGGGAGTGAGAGCCTTGAAGGTTCACGGAGGTAATGATATCTCCTGACTCAGAGTAACTACTCTGGGTAGGTACTTGCTAAGAAATAAGAGATAGCAACTACCGTCTCTCGCACAACACAGCAATTGCTATAAAAGAGGGATGCCCAAAGTCTAGCGGGAACACAAGAAAAGGAACCAAAGTGTGCCTGGGGTGGTAGACGAGGGTCTGGGAAGGGCTCCAAGAGTCTGAGACCTGAAGGACAGGTTAGTGGAACATGGGGAGGGATGCTGCTGGACTGGAGAGCAGAGAAGAGCATGTACAAAGGCACGGGGGTATGAAGGTACACTTGCCTTCAGGATCTGCAGGAGGGTCAGTACTACTGACGCCTGAAGGATGGGGGTCAAGGGTGGAATGATGGAAGAGGTGGCTGAGCTGGAAGTTTGAGCAGGGAAGCACCTTTCTTAGATTTTCATCTCAGAAAGCACAGGCTGTCCAGTGCAGCTGGGAAGGGCTAGGGGGCAGGGTAGAGCTGGAAGCAGGAGACCCGGGAGGAGAATGGCCCAGGCTTGGTTTTGTAGTCAACCAGCATCTCCTGGTCTCTCCTTAGTGTATTTTGGTAGTAGGGCCTGGGAGGGGAGAGAGTCCGGGATAGAACCTTGGCAACTGACTAGTCCTAGCCTTGCTCTGAGCAGATGAGGCTGTGAAATTGAGAACAAGTCAGCTTTTTAAATTGTTTCCTAGCTTGAGAGATTAGAGGATGGGATAGACAGCGAAGTGTTTTGAAAGTAAAGACCACCAGCCCTGACCAGGTAGCTCAGTTGGTTAGAGCATTGTCTCGATACACCAAGGTTGCAGGTTCAATCCCTAGTCAGGGCACATACAAGAAACAACCAATGCCCGGCGTAGCTCAGCAGTTGAGCATTGACCTAAGATCCAGGAGATCGAGGTTCGATTCCTGGTCAGGGCACATGCCCGAGCTGCGGGCTCGATCCCCAGTTTGGGGGGGTGCAGGAGGTAGCCGATCAATGACTCTCATCACTGATGTTTCTATCTCTCTCCCCCTCTCCCTAAAATCAATAAAGGTATATTTAACAACAACAAAAAAAGAAACAACCAATGAATACACAAATAAGCAGAATAACAAATCGATGTGGTTTGTTTTCTCTCTCTCTCTCTCTAAAAATAAATCAGAATTAAAAAAAAAAAGTAGACCACCATATACACATGCCAATCATTAAGAACATGCATCCCATATGTGATTAACCATCAGCTCCCAACTGAGTTCTCTCCTGTCTCTCAGAGAGGTTGCAACTCTCTATAAGAGGGCCAAAGCAGGAGGGAATCCAAGGCCAAGCACAGTTCATTGCAACATTAAACGGAAATGGCTTATGGATTATTTTAAATTCACTGTGCTAGACACCATGGGCAGTGAAGAAAGATGAAATATGGTCTGGATGGGGTGAAATGATGCTAGGACAGGTGAATGGCCCTGAGGCTGGGGGATAGGTCAGATCAGGCACCTCCTGAGAGCAACTGGGGTAGAAGAATGAGTGTTCATTTGTTTGGGGTGGGTGAAAGGCAGGTGGGTGTGTGGGGGGTGGTTCATGGGCAGGTGCTGGAGGGTGGTCTCACCTTGGCCACTTGACCCCGCAGGTCGTGCAGCTCACCCTCCAGCGTGCGCTTCTCACTGAGAGCAGTGCTCAGTGCAGCCTCTTTGGAGTTGAGCAGAGCCTCCAGGTCCTTGAGCCGGGCCTGGGCAGCCATCAAGTCTCCTTCCTTTTTGGTATTGCTAAAGAAGAAAGGAAGAATGGGTTTAAGGGGAGGAGTCTGTGTCCCTAGAGAGAGCCAGGTTCCCTAAGGAGAGAAGTCACTTCCCCAGAGGTCAGCTGTGGGGCCTGGTTCTGCTGTCCCTCCAATTGCCAGGAGAGGGCATGCTGGGATTTGGTTTCTTGGCATCTGCCAGCCCCCCAAACCCCTTTCCTGCTTCTCCACCCTTCCCATGACTCAGTGCTCAGGAACGTGCCTAGGGCCAAGGGCAAAGCTTGATCCCGTGAGATGAATGCTTATGTTTTTCCCCTCCCATGCCTTCCCAAAGAGACAGGGCCACCTTTGTCTCCCACCCCTTCCCACACCCGGGCTTAGCTTTCTCCTCCCTGACTCCACCCACCTTTCATTCAGCCAAGCCTTCCCTGCTGCAGGGACCCAGACAGCCAGACTCCCAGGCCTGAGTTCTATGCATCCCTAATGCTTCTCAGTTTGAGCCCTAAAGGTATTGGTCACCTCCTCTAGTCCCTTTTATACTCTGGGGACTGTGGATTGAGAAAGTCTGGATAGAACTTAGGAAGACCTGGGAGGATAACCAGGCGTGGTATGGACCATTCCCTCTCTCAGACACAGTCTGGGTCCCATGATCTGGGCAGAGCACGGGGTTTCCAGCTCCCTCCCTCTGGGCCTCCTCAGAGCCTGAGAGAATGCTGATCCCTATGTATCGATCATAAGCCTCAGCATCGGGCTCCAGATATGGCCTCCAGGCCCATCTGGGCTCCAGCCTTTAACTTCCCCACTCCTCAAACCAGGCAAAGCTTTAGCTAGAACCAAGCAAGCAGGGGTTGCCTCTGCTACTCCTCCCCTTTCTGGGCCCGTGATTATTTTTTGCTGGATAGTGAACTGGAGAAATAGAGGGGTCCTATTTTCTTAAAAAGCTCTGGGGAATCCAAGAACTCTACAGATGTTACGATCCTTTCACCAGTGTCTGGTGAACTGGTTAGACCCGGGGGGTGGGGGAGAGCCAAAGGGCCTGGTCCCAGCTGCCATCTGTAACACATCAGTCCTTCAGCATAAACCCACCACAGCAGATGGAAAAAAGGAAAACCAAATGTAGGAGGGGGAAAATATTCTATCCTGGAAAGGAAAAAAGTGGCCCTGCCAACATTTTTCTCCTGCCACAAAAGCACTAAGCTCCAAGAGACCCAACAATTCACTGTGAAGCAGGAAGGAGAGGACAGACTTGAGGACACTCTGAGGGAGAGGCCAAGACTGAGGCAGTGTTCTGCCACCTTAGCAGATTCAAACAGGAGTCACTTCCACTTCAACTGGGCTCCGCCCGGAGGGGGACAGAGTGACGTCCAGACAGGCCCGGGAAGGATGTGAACAATTGGAGGGAGCACCCCCAACCTGCATGCTTGCTCCTGTTCAGCCTCTGGCCACACCTCAAAACAAGCTGTTTAATGCAACAGTGTCTGTCTCCTGTGAAAAGAGGCCCTTCCAGAACTGGAGGAGGTCTCCCCTCCTCCGTCTCAGCCTGAAAAGCTAAAAATAAAGTCAAAACCCAGCTCAGGTTTTGGCTGCTGTCCGGCCCAGCCCCTGGCTGGGAGCACAGCCCCAACTTTCCATGACTTCAGAACTTTTCCGAAGCTGAGGCAGCTGCAGGGGAGGAGGGAGGAAGAAGAAAAACCGCTGGTAAAGTGAAGACGCGGCAGGCATAGGCTCCGAGGGCCTTGAGTCGACTCCAAGGCTGGCGAGGGCTTCCCAGAAGCGGCTGCTCTACGCTGTAGGCCAACAGCCGCAGCTGGCAGCTGGCCGTACTGGGAGGCTCTTGGAATTTAGAGAACTAGAAGGAGCTTAGAGTGGGTTCAGCTCAACCCCCTCGTTTTACGGATAAGGAAACTGAGGCACAGAGGAGGAAGGTAAAGGGGCCCAGTGTCATGCTCTGCAAGCAGCAGCAGGAACAGGGTCACAGGACTGCTGCTCCTCCACCTCACTGCTTTCTAACCCATAGGTCTAGAGAGCGTGGAGAGCTAACAGGAGGGGGAGGGCTCACGGCCCAGCTAGCCTGAGCTGGGAGAAGCAGGAAAGAGCGATGCTTTCAGAAGACATCTCAAAGGCATCTCTTCCCTAGTCCTGCTCTCTGACCCCCTCAGACTCCAGAATAGGAACTCCAGGAGTTCTTGGAAATACCCTGCCTGTGGCACACCCTGACCCAGGAACACAGAGACACACAGTCCCTGCCCTCTGGCAGCTTACAGGTGGACAACTACAGGAATTTCCCCTTCAGTCTAACCTCTTCACCTCCTACTGCTCCCAAAGATGGGCTGGTTATAGTAACAATAACATAGTAACAGCGAACACATATAGGGCTGGTTATATACCAGGTGCTGCTCTAAATATCACACTGTTAACTCAATCTTTGCAGCTTCCCTATAAGAAAGATGCTATTACTATGTAATTGAGGAAACTGAGGCACAGAAAGCAGAGTCCAGGGTCCTGCAGCACATCCCGTCCGTGGACAGCTGGTGGCTGTGCTGCGTTAGCATCTGCCAGGAGATAATGGCTCCAAAGAAATTAAGGGGCTATTTTCCTTTCCCTCCTGGAGGCTTAGATTATTGCCTGAAAGATGCCACGAAAGGACTAAGACACAGCCTGCAGATGAGGAAAACCATGAGCAGAGGGGGAAGTGAGGAAGCGCCTTTGCGGTTTTCTCAGCCAGGCTTGGGGAGCTCCCATCTGTGGGGAAGAAGCCACTATCACTCATGGCTCGTGACTCAGACCTCGGGAGATCTGTGGCCAGGGAGCCACACGCACATGGCTCTCTTCCCTCCTACCTCTTCCCCAGGCTTGCCCACGCACCAGCCCCCAAAGCCACTTCCTAGCTAGCTGGGGTCTTCCAACCTAGCTCAAACCCCAAAGAGACACTGCCCAGGGGCTCAGCGCCAGAGCAGTGGTGCTACCTGTGCTGGAGTCCACTGGGGGTTGGCAGTGAGAAAACTGGGCACGTGTTGAATGTTGTCCCACACTGGGTTGGCAGGGGGGACAGGGTGGGGCAGGCAAGGGGAGCTGGGAAGGGTGGGAACCAGGGGCTCTGCAGCTGACTCATCCTCAGGCAGACAATACCCGGGCAGGGGTCGGGAAATCCTCTAGTGCTCACAGGGGAGACCCTGGTTTTGTCTGCGTCCTGCCCCAGGCCCCATGCCATGCCAGTGGAGGGGTGACTCCCTTGCATCTGCCAGGTTCCTCAAGCACAGGAATGGCTCCATCCCAGGGGCCTCCTGAGGCAAGAAGGGCTGGGCAGCCTGTTGCTAACCCTTCCCACAGCTGGCAAATCTGGTCTCTGAAGGAGGGTGGAGAAGGGCAGAGGAACAGCGAGGAAAAGAAGGCAGAAAGGATGGCAGGGGGCTGGCTGGCCTGGCGCAAGGCTTGGGGCCTGCTAGGCTGAGGCTGGCCAGATGGGGAGCCCAGCTCCAGGCCTCTGCAGGTCAGGACTCTGAGACTGCTTTTGGGGAAGAAAGGCGCCCAGCATAGCAAAGGGGCTGGGTGGGCATGGGGCCCAGTGCTGACCCACCTGCTGAGTCACCCTCTTCAGCCCAGTTTGGATGCCAGATATGGAAGCCAGGGCCTGCTGCAGGCCTCTGTGGGCCTGGTTGCTGGGAGCAACTTGCTAGGCCCTGAGGGAGGACCCCTATTTCCTCCCCTGGGCTGAGGAAGAGACAAGGGGAGCAGAGACATGGGCTGGGCTAAAATAAGAAGTGGGAGGGAAACTGGGCAAGAGGGCTCCCTCACACCCACTCCAGGCCCCTTGTAGGCCCTATCTCAGCCCCTCAGCCTCACCAGCCAATGGAGTTCCCCATGGTTGAAGGGAGACCCTGGAGAAGTGGGGAGGGAAGAGGAAGGGTAAGAGAGCAAAGGTCTCTGAGCCCCTGGGCATTTCCTGCCTCCCACGAAAGAGCGCCCCTTGTGGCTGGGCAGGGCTGGGCAGAGAGTGCTGGCCCTCCTGGCTTAGGAACTGCTCTTTCCTGTCCTCCCAGGTGTCTAAACCTGTGGCCAGGCTGACTTCCTGCCAGTGATGGGGCAGCTCCTAGGGCCACCCCAAGCCTGCCTGCAGGTCCCTACTACTCCTCCCTTTGTTCCAGCAACCCCTCCCACTGCAGTATATTCCCCTTCCCCTCCTCCCTCCATCTATCCAAATCCACCCCAACCTTGAGCCCCACCTTAGCCCTGCACTCCAACCCCCCTCCTCTTCCCAAACGTGTTCAGTGTTGTTTAACCCACTGGTTTATTCTCTCTCCACTTACACCGAATCTCTGGGGCTTTTTTCTGTATGTCCCCTGATGCCTTGACACTAGGAGGATCATACATATGCTCAAGGCTTCTAGAGGGACCTCCTCCTGCGCTTTTACAGATGCAGAAACTAAGGCCTGGAAAAGGGTAGGCTCAGACGCTAAAAACCTGTCCACCGGGTCACCTAAGGACACTAATAGCAGACAGGACAGAACACAGACAATGACACGATGCATGCAGGGGGCACTGAGAGTGGCACAGAGACACCCAGGAAGAGAATGCGGGAGACACCCTGGACAGAGAGGGATACAGAAGCCTAGTGAAACGGCCCTCAGACATCACACTCCCACACTGTGTGCAAGCCGAGGTTTGGCATCCTCCGTCTCCAGAAGGAACCACTGCTTGGTTTCTTGGCTGGTCTGTGGGTTTGGCCTCACTTTCAGGTAATGGCAGGGTGTGGGGAGGCTGGGACATCTGGCCTCCCCACTCTGGAGAGTAAAGAGAGGAACTGAGGGGGAGGTGTTCCAGGGTCCCTGTGAGTTCGAAATGTCTTTTAAACCCAGAAAGTATATGGTAGGCCCTCCAGGATGGACCCCCTCACTCCTGACCTCCCCATACAGGCACATGCACCCACAGCAGGCATAGCTCTGCTTCCACATGCCTCTCTCTTGGGTGTGACACCCGCCACACATGCTAAGTGTCTGAGGCCCATCAGATCTTCTTCCAGAGCCACCA